TCATATTTATCCATAAAAAAAATATTTTTCACTCTAATTTTTTTTTTATTTCTAAATTTCTCTCTACAAATTGTATTTTTTCTCTTTAAAATTTTCATATTTTAAATATTTATTGTTATTTGTCTCTCTCCAACATTTTCTGTATATTTGTTTTTTTTCTAACGGACCAGTTTCATTTCTCTCTCTAAAAAATTAATATTTTTCATAACTTTTTTATCTCTAAAATTTCATGTTTTATAAATTTTATGTCTCTCGGTAATCTATTTTTTCTTCTAAAAATTATATTTTATTTTCTCGTTCAATTTTCTTTCACTGTAACTTTTATTTATCTTTGTTTTTATTTATTTTATATAAAAATTATATTTTGAATCTTGTTTTTATTTCTAAATTTGTTTCCACTATAATTTTTCTCTTTCTTTATAATTTCTTTTTTTCTCTAACATATCTTTTCCTCTCGACTTTATTTTTTCTCCAAAATTTTTCTCTTTTTGTCTTTAACTTTTCTCAACCTATTTTTTTCAAAATATTTTTATTTATCTCTCTAAAATTTATCTTCCAAAAGATTATTTACATATATATTTTCCTGTTTCCACATGAGAAGACAAAGATTTTACATATATATTTTTCTAAATTTGTTTCAAAATATGCATGTCCCGACCCTGTCCCCGTCCCCAATTCCATTTTTTAAATAATTAATATATATTTATTACACTTTTTTATATTTAAATTCTAAAAATAATTAAAAACAATTATAAAACTGATAATTTTTCTCGAGAACATCTCTCGGATCCAAGAATGAGGTGGAGACGGAGAATAAAAATTTTCACGAGTCCGATAATGGGGGAGAGCATATTCACTCGCAACCACACCATCTCTACTCTACATAAAATTGTCTCTCTCTAATATGTATTTTCAATTTTTTAACTTTTTAAAAATAAAAAATGGTTACCAAACATGTTTGGTTTTTTGTTTTTTAAAAACAATAAACAAAAAATGGTAATCAAACATATATGGTTTTTGTTTTTTAAAAACAGAAAACCAAAAACAAAAAACTAAAATGGTTATCAAACGCCCCTAAATTTCTCTCTACAAACTTTATTTTTCTCTCTAACATTTTCATATTTTGAATATTTATTATTTTTTTGTCTCCCTCCAAAATTTTCAGTATTTTTATTTTTTTATTTTTTTTCTAATAGACCAATTTCGTTTCTCTCTCTGAAAATTTAATATTTTCCCTAACTCTTTTCTCTCTAAAACTTTGTCTTTTATAACTTTTATTTCTCTTCGTAATCTATTTTTTCCTCTGAAAATTATATTTTATTTTCTCATTCAATTTTCTTTCACTGTAACTTTTATTTATCTCTGTATTTATTTATTTTCTCTAAAAATTATATTCAAAATCTTGTTTTTATCTCTAAATTTGTTTCCATTATAATTTTTCTCTTCCTTTATAATTTTTTTTAACATATCTTTTTCTCTCAACTTTACTTTTTTCTCTAAAATTTTTCTTTTTTTGTCTTTAACTTTTCTTTAACTATTTTTTTCTAAATCTTTTTATGTATCTATCTAAAATTTATCTTCCAAAAGTTTATTTACATCTCTCAAAACGTGTATTTTCATGTCTCTACATTTGGGGATGACAAAAATTTCCGCAGGGTCGGGTCCAAAAAATAGGAAATGCATGTCCCGACCCCGTCCCCGTCCCCGTCCCCGATTTCATTTTTTAAATAATTAATATATATTTATTACACTTTTTTTATACTTAAATTCTACAAATAATTAAAAACAATTATAAAACCGATAATTTTTCTCGAGAACATCTCTCGGACCCAAGAACGAGGTGCAGACGGAGACTAAATATTTTCACGACCACGAGAATGGGGGAGAGCATTCGCATCCACATCATTGTCATATTTACTCTACATAAATTGTTTTCTCTCTAGTATGTATTTTCAATTTTCTAACTTTTTAAAAACAAAAAACTTAAAGTGGTTACTAAACATGTAACAACCCGTATTTTCTAATAGGGTCATTCTGACAAAATGCGGAAGCGTAAACAAATAAACACTATATTAACAGAAAAACTTCTTTATTTAATTTGATACTGTGACAAAAGATAAGGACAAGTCCAACTTTGAAACAAAACCTACACTGTAATAAAGCCAAAGAATAACTACAATGACTATCTAAGTTCTCATAAGCTAAAAAACATTGGAAAATACTAAAGATTTCAACTCCTCATGCCAGAACGCTATTCCTAATTCACTATCTGAGCAGTCACTTGAACCTTCATCTGAAAACATTTAATAAACAGAAAAATGAGTACAAAAATACTCAATAAGCAATTTCCATATTAAACATTGAAATTCATTTTTTTCCTTCAAAACATTTGTAACAAAAATACCAATCGATCAAAACTTTCAAAATTCCTTCCAAAACATTTGGTACAACTTTCAAACTTTCAAATAACTAAATCATTCAAACATTCAAAACAATGTTACATTCATTCATACTTTCAAAATCAGAGTGGGAGGTTGCATTATTTGGGTAGCCTACAGAACATATGTGGTTACCCGTCGGTAACACCAATCAATCAAAAGCTTCTATCAGAGTTGTCGAATTAATATCGACCAGAACAGGGATGTCGAAATAATATTGACCAGAACAAACAGAACGATTACTTAAATGTGAGGCCATGTGAGTGAATAACACACACATGAATCTACATTCTCAAGGAATGTCAAACCACAAAAGTGTCTTCCCACAAATAAGTCAGAACAGAAATCCATCAATTCCAAATTAGGCTACTACCCCAAATAAGCAAAACGTTTCTCAAAACAAAAATATGGCATATTTGGATAGCCTTATCAAATTAATCAAAATATCTTTCAAATAAAATGTAAAACAAATACTTACTTTCAATATTAAATTAATTCAAAACATTGAACTTATTTAAAACAAACTTTATCAATCCTCAAAACATGATTTCAAATATTTCACAAATAAATAAAATATCAATTTGAAACCTTTAAATAAATCTAAACAAAACTTTATCAAATCATATAAGAATACTTCAAATACTTTGCAAATAAACATAATATCAATTGCCAAATTAGTTTTCAAATCCATAATAAAACTTTAATTTCATGAATAACCCACCAGTGGTGACATTCTCTACCGGTGGTGGCACACGACTCTAAATCAGAGTGTACTAGGTGATTACAGTACTTGCCGTACTGAGCAACCGTGGAAGAACGGGTAGAAGCAGCAAACGGTGGAGATTAGGAGCTTCTAAAGGATTGGATTGATTGCTCCGCCTTCGACGAGTGCTTGTTTCTGATAAGGATTGGATACGAGGGCGACGCTGATTGAAGAAGGAAGGAACGAGAGCCAACAATGGCGGGTTCAAGACTGAAGAATAGGTGCTGATTTTTTTTAGTGATTTTTTGATTGGGGGAAATTTAATTGCAGTAATTAAGAAGGAAAAAAGAAAGAAACAAGAGGAACGAACAAGTGCATTTTTGAAGGTTTGAATTTGAGGAGGGAAATCAAACAAAATCTTGCTTTGAGTTGTGTGGATTTAAAAGCATGCAATTCCATTTTATATTCACTATCTTTCTTTCACATTTTTTTATTCAAAACAGTAATAGAAGAAAGAGAAGAAGAGAACGTAATTTCTGTCCGGATTTTGGGAAATTGACTAATTTGACATGAAAAAGTTTAGGTTTTGCAGAAATCACCAACTATAAAAAAAAACTCACTCTTTTAACATAAATTCAGTTTTTACTTATTTGCAAACAACGTGGAATTACAATGAAGCCCCTCCGGACCATTACACTCCTCTTTTCTTTTTCCTTTTCTTTTCTTTTTTAGCCTTTCTCTTTTGCCTCAAAATTACGAATATTCTAAGATTACAATCAATTTTCGCGATTTTCCTCAAGACTACCGATTTTCTAAGAGATTTTTGTTGCCATATTTTGTCTACAGTTTTGAATTTTCGAGATAATTTGATTTAATTGATTCACAGATTAATTAAATTATCTTGATCCTGACACTTTTATAAGTAAAGCGATTTATTTTCTTCGATTGATAGTTTCTGTTGAGCGATTTTCCTGCGACTAAAGCGAGCGATTTTTCGGTGGCTGAAGGGATTGCGTGGTCGTCGATTCAGTTTTCTAAGGAGCTCGGGGGAAATGTTTGATTTGAGGATTTTATATGAAACCAGCTCGAGTTCTGTTCAATCCTGTCGAGCTCTGTTCAATTCACGCCCGAGTATGCCCAAGTTCGTTCAATAATTCACGCTCGAGTATGCCCAAGTTCGTTCAATTAACTCCTAAGTAGCCAGAGATCATTTAATTCGCGCCCAAGTTCCGTTCAGTTTATGCCCAAGTTCGTTCAACCGTGGGAGAGCTCGTAGCACCACTACGAGTCTCTGTTGCGAGGGAGTTCGCACGGGGGCTGCAGGTCATCTATCGTTGTCGAATCTCGATCTCATTGCCACTAGGTTGCGTCATTGCCATTGGGTACTAGATTGCCAGAGACACTACGAGATTGCGAGAGGAGAGTGAGATGGAGAGAAAGGGAGGCGGCTGGTATGTTGTTAAGAGAGAGATGAAAACGAAGAGGAACAATTTGAGAAATCCCTTCGAATTTCGCGTACAAATAGGAAATAAGAGGAAAAGAAAGCCCTAAATAGTTACATTTAAAATCAGGGGTATGTTAGGAAATTTATATTCTTTTATTTTTCTTAATTGCACGTGGGAGCAAAACCTAAATTTTTTAAAGGTCAAATGGGTCAATTTCCTATAGATTTTGGAGCAGAGGAGGGGAAAAAGCGGGGGTTAGAAGGAGAAGAAGGAATAGATAAAAAGAAAAGCCTAATTCAAGTGGGTAGGGGTTGACCCGAAATCCGACCCGACTTACCCCCTAAATTAGATAGTAATTTTATATAATTATTATTTTGTAAATTTAAGAAACATGAAATGAGTTTGTAAGCCAAATTTAAGTTTAACCCGTAGAGTGGTGGGAGGCAGTGTTGTTTCATGCGTGGTCCTCGGCAGGAGAGGAGCATAGTGCTGCATTCAAGCTCTCTAGGTCCGACGCCATGGCGGAGACGATTGAATCTAACGCTGAAGTTCCAGTTTCAGACGAAGGGAATACGATTAATGGAGATGAACTGATGCCTGACCTTCCTCACAACCCTACTTCCACTTCCTCTGACTCTGATTCTGATTCTGAGGACGACGAATCCGACCAAAAGCTCCAGCTCCAGCTCCACACTCTTCAATCCGAGCTCTCCACCAACCCCTCCAACTACGACGCTCATGTCCAAGTAATTTTCCTCTTCTTTCTTTAAATGCTTTTTTCTCTCATCAATCATCGTTTCTTCTCCCCATTTCTTCCTTCAGTGTATAAAGCTTTTGAGGAAAATGGGTGACCTTGACAACCTGAGGAAAGCAAGGGAAGCAATGAGTGAGATATTCCCATTGACCCCTCCCATGTGGCAGGAATGGGCCAAGGACGAAGCATCTATCAGTACTACTGGGTAATCTCGTCGGTTAATACCTTTTTAGAATTTGATGTGCCGTTATTTCTCTTTCAGGTGGCGTTTAATTTTCTGCTAATGTTACCCTACTGCTCCCTAATTTTAGTTCATTTTTCAATGCTGTTTTCTTGAGTTGATTTTTTTTCCCCTGTCAATTTCAAACTACTAAACAGGTTCCTGAAACTTTCAACCGGTTTTTTTTGTGAAAATTTTAAGGAAAAACAGAAGGGTTTAAGATTTATGTTAATCCCTTCTTTAACATTGATTCGTTTTGCTCTCTTTTGGCATGTTGCCTTTGCAGGCCAGAGGCTCTTGCTGCAATCGAGAAGCTATACGAGCGAGGGGTGTCTGATTATCTGGTTTGTATTGCCGTGTCATATGGAGATTAACTCTTGGTTTTATGAGGCATGTTTCATGTTAGGCTAAAGAATGTTAGCATACTATTACTGCTAGTCTTAAATCTCTCTCCTTAAATGTATCTGGATGTTGGACAAATAAGTTTAAATTGTACCTTTTGATGATTAGATTGTTGCTTTGGAAATAAAATGATTGGCTTTGAAACATGACCTTTTGCGCGGTTTTATACTCTATTGATCCTGTACAAGTTCAAGGAAAATGGGTTTCTTTGTAATTATCTTCGTTTTATTTTGGATGCAATATTTTGAAGTTGTAGAAGGTGTCATGGTGTTTTCAGATTTTCTTTTGTAGCTCGTGGTCATGTGAGATAGTTTAACTTTTCAATATGTTATGCAGTCGGTTTCTCTTTGGTGTGACTACTTAAATTTTGTTCAAGAATACAATCCATTGGTGCGAGATTGTGCAACTTCTGGAATTAAAAAGGCTAGAGATTTATTTGAACGTGCTCTTACAGCTGCTGGTTTGCATTTTACCGATGCTGAAGAATTATGGGAAGCATATAGAAAATTTGAGAAAGCCGTATATCAATCCATTGATGAAACTGATATTCAGGTCAGAACATCTTTCCTGATTTCTTATGTTTATGGGCATCTTCTATGAGGTCTTATTCATGATGTAACTTTCAGAGCTATACATACATGTCATATGCTACATTTTGTGGAATATACAATGTTAAGATTTGAATTCTCACAATGTAATTTTGGTACTGACTACTGTAAATGTAATTACATAATAGTTGAAATGCATTGAATCATTGATGCTTAAAAATAAGACTTGGAACATCAAAAATTCAATAGACTCGTCAACAACTAGATGAAACTTTTCATTTTTTTTGGATATCTGTGCCAGAGTCTTTGATGCAAGCCCTCCATATTCCATAGGCTTGAGAACTTTGTCCCAACTCACCAAGCTTTGACCCGCCTTGTGGTACCTTTTCAGAGGAAATTTTGCAAGATTCTTTCTAAATCTTTAGCCACCTTGGATGGAATGGAAAGGGTCGACAAGAAGTATATAGAGACGTTTGATAAGGTAGCTTGTATGAGAGTAAGTCTTCCACAAAAGGAATTCTCCCAAGTGCTAAGTTTTTCCTCACCTTTTCCAAAATCGAATCCCAAAGAGAGCAAGTAGATTGCTTCGAGGTAAGTATTGGCCAAGAACCTTTTTTTAAAATTGAACCTTGCTGCCAATAGATCATTTTCAGAATCCTTCATATTCATGCCCATCCATCATGTCTTTTGTAGGTGATGTAAAATCAAAGGCTTCGAGGAAGCTCTTATATCAAATGATGTACTCAACCTTACTACTAGTGGCTTAGGCAACCCTTGTAATAAAAAACACCTCCTAAAAACACACGACAACACTACATACCCAAGGAATCACTTAAGGGGAAGAAGAATGGACTTACCTTGAAGGTCGAAGCTTTGGATAGAGAGAACTTATTCTAGGTTCAAAGTGAAACACTCCACAAGTTTGGAGACCAACCTAAACTTGCATGTTTTAAAGAGATTTGTGCAACTAGCTTAAGATGAGCCAACGCTCACGGTTTTGGGGAGCAAAGAAGATAAGCTCAAATGTTATTTTCATTAATCGATTTTCCAATGCCTTAAATGTTCATGAAGAGGCCTACGCCTATATATAGGCATCTTGTTTTTTCCTAAAATAAAAAGAAAAAGAAACTTGAATAACTAAACGTACACTAAACTAGTTACAAATGGACATAGCTAAGGTACATAACCCTACAATTGGGTCTAAGAGCTATTACATAAATTACCCATGAAGTCCAAAAGAAGGTTGCACTAAGAATTACATGAAAATATTTTTCTAAGACTCAAACCATAAATGCTTCATAAATTGGAGCTCTTCTTCATGTTCCCTTGAAGCTCCTTTCTCCGCTTGTCTCCATCATCATAAAGCTTGAATCTTGATTGTCCACGTGTTGAACTGGAGATTTCCTTCTTCATTGGTTGGTCCTCGTGCCATGATGTCTGTTGCTTGAAGCATATATATATATATATTTTTTTGGATAAGAAACTTTGTATTAGCAAAAGCATAGAAACACAACAAACAGCCTAAGGGCAGGGGGAAGAGGGATCCCCCTCCCAAGAACTACAAAAGAAGAGTTCTCCAGTCTTGCATAATCGAAGAGAGGCTATAATTACAAAAGAATTTTCTATGTCTATGACACCACCATGAAGTGTGTAAATGAACTGTATTACAAAAAACTTCAAAAGAAGAAATCCTATCTTCGAAGATTCTAGCGTTCCTTTCCAACCAAAGATTCCACAGAAGAGCTCTAACTGCCCAACTCCAAAGGATTTTTGCTTTCCCTCTGAAAGGCCACCCTCTTAGAGTTTCATATAACCACCCTTCAATATTCTAAGGAAGGCAAATGGAGAAACCAAAAATTTGGAACAAATAGGACCATCCACGTGAAGCAAACTGGTAATGAAGGAAGACATGGTCCATAGTATCCTCATTCTTCTGACATAAAGTACAAACTGAAGGAGAGAGGGTCCAATTTGGACACTTTCTCTGGAGTCTTTCTGTGGTATTTAAAGGCCTGGAAGCTAGAGTCCATAGGAAAACTTTAACTTTTTTAGGGATAGAACACTTCCATAAGAGAGAAGATATGAGAGGTTTCGTGCTTGGAACTTCGAAAGTAGCTTGGAAGGCCGATTTTACTGTATACTTTCCAGAGGATTCTAGAGACCAAACTGCTTTATCGACTCCCTCCCCAATTTGAAAAGCGTCCAGCCTTCCCATAAGATCCACCCAGCTTCCTACTTCTCTATCATGAAGACCCCTTCTTAAACCAAGGTCCCAAGCAAGCTGCTCCTCTTTCCAGCATTCAGCAACCGAAGCTTCCTTTTTCAAAGAAACAGCATAAATGTCGGGAAGTCATGAGCTAGAGTAGTATTCCCCGTCCATCTATCCAACCAAAAACGGATTCTGTCACCGCGAGAAACTTTAAAAGAAAGAAATTTGAGGAAGAAAATGCTGTTTAGGTGGCACTTAAATAATGATCCACCCCTATTTTATGGTTATTACGAAGTTTATAGATGGAAAGAAACAAGTTCCTCGTAGAGCCATTTAAATGGTTAATTCACAAGTGGCCAAGAGTGGTTTTGTTCTTTGTGTTTTTAACAACTGGAGCAAATTCATTCTATATATTGTATATTCCATTCTTTTCTATCATGTGATCTTCATAGAACTTCGTGTCCTCTAACCACTGTTCTTGCTTCGGTCCAGTTTTTGTGTCAGTTTTGACACCTCAATATAATGTTTTTCAGGTTATTGAATTCGTTCAATTTAAAGAACGGTTGCAACACTCTAACCAGTATCTAGTTGCAAGAGTTGAAGAATCTATTTTAAGGTTAAAGCAACATGCACATAGCATTGAAGAAGAGGAGGTAGCACCTGAATCATCGTGTCATCTCAGTGATAAGATTTATCTGGTCTTAATGTGTTTGAGGCAGTTTGATTCATTATCAATTTCTTTTTTCTTTTAGGCTGTTCTTGAGAGCCTGAAATACGGGATTCACTTTGTTGAGCTTTCCGATGAGATTGCCTCTAAAACTCCGACATTTAATGAAGACTTGCAGTCACGTCCTTGGTGGACTCCAACGTCAGAAAAAAATCATCTTTTAGGTTGATATTTTGTATTTTTAATTTGAGTAAAATTTATAGTTCTCTTATTGAAGCAGTATCATCGTTAAAATTTGATGACTTCAAAAGCAAGAAAATGAATAATACGTGATTAGAAACTTTTTGGTGTAAGTTCATTTCCAATTGCGTCTTTTATTTGTCAAATATCGATTTTTTTTTCTGATAACATCAGAATTTTGTATACTGTTTTTGTGTCTCATGATGATATTATTACTTGTTGTCAGGTCCTTTTGAAGGGATTTCCTGTTATCCGAGAGAGAACTTGGTAAGAAATTCCCATTTTCCTTTATCGATATTCCCTTGTCAGGTTAATAATTGATTTTCCATAATTATAACTTTTTTTCCTTCTGTTCTGTAAACTGTGGTGCTAATGTAGAACCAAAGTCTGGAAGCCGGTGTTAGAAGAAATGTTGAAAGGAGATCTCTTCTTCCTCGCATGCTTTACCTTTCTATTCAGAGTGTTTCAATATCAATCAAGGAGAACTTTGAGATTAACGGTTCTGTATCTGATCCTAAAATATCCACGGAGCTAAAATTCTTGCTTGAGAGCTATGCAAAAATGTTGGGATCTACTTTTGAGGATGCAGTTGAACTGGTTATGGGGGTTTCTAATGGACGAAATTCTTATAAGGTATGTTACTGTTGCTTGTCTAAAACATACAATTATACTGTTTGTGTATACAATCAAACATTATCAAGGGATAGAGCAACTTAAACTATCATGGGTTGACCTAGTGGTCAATAAGGACCAATATAAGTAGTAAATGGCTCATCATGTCGTATCAATGGAAAATTCTAGTAATATTTTTAATTAGACCAAACCTTAGAGCAAATGGGTTCAAAGGTGGTATCCTACCTAGAATTTAATATCCTATGAGTTATATTGGTAACTAAATATAGTAGTGTCAAGCGTTGGTCCTATGAGAATATTCAAGGTGCTCACACGGATATATAAAAAAAGAGCAATTTATTTGCAGATATTCAAATTAATGGCTTATGTGACAGACACTAGGCTTTCGATTGCCTGTCATGTTAATGATTTAGTGGTCTTTCTTTAGAATTGCGTAAGGTTTGAAATTTTAAGAAGTTCGAGCGAGTGACTTATTTTATCTGGGATGTTATAGGAGGAAAGTTAAAGTAAAATACACCAGTGAATATCGATGGTCAAAGTCTTCAGCTTTAGATGCATTTACTCTTAAAATAAGCATCTTGACATGCGTTGATGTATGCCTTTGCATGTTTTGTTGATTTCGTTTTTGTATATTAGCATTTAGTAAATTATCTGAAGAGGGGGCTCAAGGAGCCTGCTGTTAGTCTGTCACAATGAATCAATTATTCCTCTTACATTTTTGTTATAACCTTCATCTTGTGAATTCTTTTTGCAGGATTTTGGCCCCAGTTTGGTTGAATGGTTTAATTTTGCCGTGTTTCTGAATGCATGGAACTTGAGTTCTGGTGAACTAGTGGAAAAAAATGCCGATGGATGTCAGTCTCGTACCTGGCATATTATTGATACTCTGTTGGAAAAATACATATTAGAGGGAGTTAAATCCTTGGAGACCTCAATATTCACTCCTTACGTCGACATATGGACACTTGTACAGGTCGTTTCAGAGCCATTAGCTTGGCATGGCCTTGTTCTCCAGGCCTGTGTCCGATCTTCTCTTCCATCTGGTAAAAGGAAGAAGAAAGCAGGATCAGTTGAGCTATCCTCTTCTCCTCTATTTCTTAGAGTGCGAGATTCAACGCATTCTTTATGTAGTATTCTAGAGGTCTTGCTGAAGTGGTTAAGTGGGCTCATCAACCAATCGGAAGAAGGTAAATTAGAAGCCATAATTTCCTCGATTCGAAGGAGTGAAAACAACGATGGACCTGGGCAAGTTTTTCGGACACTAGAAACTCTGACTTCATCAATGAACAATACCGAGCTTGGTGATAGGATTACTGAAGCATTGAAGTCTTGGAATACTGTAGATGCTGCAAGAAAGATAGTTACCGGGAAGCATGTAGTGTTAAATGAGTTTACAAAATTTTGTGAAGCAAAATTCAAAACATTTCAGAAATTGAAACAGCAAATATCTCAAGTCTGAAGACCTACATTCCCCATCGCTGCCGCTTCTCTTTTGCTGCCTTCAGTCAAGATTTCTCCCTGGAAGAGTATTGAGTTGTGAGTTCTGTTATTGATTCGATTCCTTACGTATAATATAGATAATCCCTCACTTCCTACCCAAGTTTTTGCT